GATCAGTCATGTAATATCCCAGTCAGTCAGTCATGTAATACCCAGTCGATCAGTCATGTAATATCACAGTCGATCAGTCATGTAATATCCCAGTCAGTCAGTCATGTAATATCACAGTCGATCAGTCATGTAATATCACAGTCGATCAGTCATGTAATATCACAGTCGATCGGTCATGTAATACCCCAGTCGATCAGTCATGTAATATCACAGTCGATCAGTCATGTAATATCCCAGTCAGTCAGTCATGTAATATCACAGTCGATCAGTCATGTAATATCACAGTCGATCAGTCATGTAATATCACAGTCGATCAGTCATGTAGTATCACAGTCGATCAGTCATGTAATATCACACTCGATCGGTCATGTAATATCACACTCGATCAGTCATGTAATATCACACTCGATCGGTCATGTAATATCACAGTCAGTCAGTCAAATAATATCACAGTCAATCAGTCATGTAATATAACAGTCGATCAGTCATGTAGTATCACAGTCGATCAGTCATGTAATATAACAGTCGATCAGTCATGTAATATCCCAGTCAGTCAGTCATGTAATATCCCAGTCAGTCAGTCATGTAATATCACAGTCGATCAGTCATGTAATATAACAGTCGATTGGTCATGTAATATAACAGTCGATTGGTCATGTAATATCACACTCGATCGGTCATGTAATATCACAGTCGACCGGTCATGTAATACCCCAGTCGATCGGTCATGTAATACCCCAGTCGATCAGTCATGTAATATCCCAGTCGATCGGTCATGTAATATCACAGTCGATCAGTCATGTAATATCACAGTCGATCAGTCATGTAATATCACAGTCGATCAGTCATGTAATATCACAGTCGATCAGTCATGTAATATCACAGTCTATCAGTCATGTAATATCACAGTCGATCAGTCATGTAGTATCACAGTCGATCAGTCATGTAATATCACACTCGATCGGTCATGTAATATCACACTCGATCGGTCATGTAATATCACAGTCGATCAGTCATGTAATATCACAGTCGATCAGTCATGTAATATCCCAGTCAGTCAGTCATGTAATATCACAGTCGATCAGTCATGTAATATCACAGTCGATCAGTCATGTAATATCACAGTCGATCAGTCATGTAGTATCACAGTCGATCAGTCATGTAATATCACACTCGATCGTCATGTAATATCACACTCGATCAGTCATGTAATATCACACTCGATCGGTCATGTAATATCACAGTCAGTCAGTCAAATAATATCACAGTCAATCAGTCATGTAATATAACAGTCGATCAGTCATGTAGTATCACAGTCGATCAGTCATGTAATATAACAGTCGATCAGTCATGTAATATCCCAGTCAGTCAGTCATGTAATATCCCAGTCAGTCAGTCATGTAATATCACAGTCGATCAGTCATGTAATATAACAGTCGATTGGTCATGTAATATAACAGTCGATTGGTCATGTAATATCACACTCGATCGGTCATGTAATATCACAGTCGACCGGTCATGTAATACCCCAGTCGATCGGTCATGTAATACCCCAGTCGATCAGTCATGTAATATCCCAGTCGATCGGTCATGTAATATCACAGTCGATCAGTCATGTAATATCACAGTCGATCAGTCATGTAATATCACAGTCGATCAGTCATGTAATATCACAGTCGATCAGTCATGTAATATCACAGTCTATCAGTCATGTAATATCACAGTCGATCAGTCATGTAGTATCACAGTCGATCAGTCATGTAATATCACACTCGATCGGTCATGTAATATCACACTCGATCGGTCATGTAATATCACAGTCGATCAGTCATGTAATATCACAGTCAGTCAGTCATGTAATATCCCAGTCGATCAGTCATGTAGTATCACAGTCGATCGGTCATGTAATACCCCAGTCGATCAGTCATGTAATATCACAGTCGATCAGTCATGTAATATTCCAGTCAGTCAGTCATGTAATATCACAGTCGATCAGTCATGTAATATCACAGTCGATCAGTCATGTAATATCACAGTCGATCAGTCATGTAATATCACAGTCTATCAGTCATGTAATATCACAGTCGATCAGTCATGTAGTATCACAGTCGATCAGTCATGTAATATCACACTCGATCGGTCATGTAATATCACACTCGATCGGTCATGTAATATCACAGTCGATCAGTCATGTAATATCACAGTCAGTCAGTCATGTAATATCCCAGTCGATCAGTCATGTAATATCACAGTCAGTCAGTCATGTAATATCACAGTCGATCAGTCATGTAATATCCCAGTCGATCAGTCATGTAATATCACAGTCGATCAGTCATGTAATATCACAGTCGATCAGTCATGTAATATCACAGTCGATCAGTCATGTAATATCCCAGTCAGTCAGTCATGTAATATCACAGTCGATCAGTCATGTAATATCACAGTCGATCAGTCATGTAATATCACAGTCGATCAGTCATGTAGTATCACAGTCGATCAGTCATGTAATATCACACTCGATCGGTCATGTAATATCACAGTCGATCAGTCATGTAATATCACACTCGATCGGTCATGTAATATCACAGTCAGTCAGTCAAATAATATCACAGTCAATCAGTCATGTAATATAACAGTCGATCAGTCATGTAGTATCACAGTCGATCAGTCATGTAATATAACAGTCGATCAGTCATGTAATATCCCAGTCAGTCAGTCATGTAATATCACAGTCGATCAGTCATGTAATATAACAGTCGATTGGTCATGTAATATAACAGTCGATTGGTCATGTAATATCACACTCGATCGGTCATGTAATATCACAGTCGACCGGTCATGTAATATCACAGTCAGTCAGTCAAATAATATCACAGTCAATCAGTCATGTAATATAACAGTCGATCAGTCATGTAGTATCACAGTCGATCAGTCATGTAATACCCCAGTCGATCAGTCATGTAATATCACAGTCGATCAGTCATGTAATATCCCAGTCAGTCAGTCATGTAGTATCACAGTCGATCAGTCATGTAATATCCCAGTCGATCAGTCATGTAATATCCCAGTCAGTCAGTCATGTAATATCACAGTCGATCAGTCATGTAATATCACAGTCGATCAGTCATGTAATATCCCAGTCGATCAGTCATGTAATATCACAGTCGATCAGTCATGTAATATCCCAGTCGATCAGTCATGTAATATCCCAGTCAGTCAGTCATGTAGTATCACAGTCGATCAGTCATGTAATATATATATAATATACCAGATGCATTGTTTAAAGTGTAACAGCACATGTGCTAATTTTCAACACCTGTCCATAGGGGCGTTTACTACAGATAAAAACACATTATTAAACAAGACAAAGATCATTTACACATGGGAACAACTTTGGCCCGATTTCAGCCACTGTTTAAGGTCTCTGGTAAAGATGTTAATATCCTTCTGCAGTTTGAGTCCAGTTAGGAGAGTGTAGCCCCTCTGAAGGAGAAGCTAGACTGACCAAAAGATTTTCTAAACTTCGGTAGCACACAATCCCCACTAACTGAGGCTCTGGTGGAAGGTCTTAAAGAGCCCTGACGCCTCTCTATGAGTGACACACAGTTGATCAAACATTTAAAAGTCAATTTCAAAATACTAAAATTTACAAAATTTTCAAAAGTAAAAAGCTTATGCTTTTGTATAATATCACAATGATGATATATCTTTTTTTTTTTTTTGTAAAATATCTTAATTGCCTGTTTGTATAGAGAGATGACTGGTTTCAGAGTGGACGCTGATGTCTGTGACAATGCTGTAATACAATATGAAAAATGTGAAAAAACCATTGCATGCATAAACAATAAAGCCGCATGATGTGGCATCTCTCTTCAAATAAAACGAAAGCAGTTTAGATTTGATTTGACTTTCCTACAAACATGGTCTACATGACTTTGAAATTTCAGGTGTCTGTGCAAGATTATGCCCAAGTATTTCGTTTCATGAACCTCAGACAGAGATGGGTTCATGGTCTAAATGAACTTCAAAGATGCTGTCAGGGGACCTCCGGTTGACAGAAAAACACATGGAAAAGGTTTTCTGAACATTTAAAGTTAAATGGGACAGTTGAAGCCATTTCGAGATGTTATGTAAAGCCTGTGTTAACTGCTGCTGTTGTAATATAAGAAATCTGTACTAACATAGTCATATAATAATTACAGTCGATCCGTACAATCAGACATGTAACAACTCTGATGTAACAGCACAGTCTCAAAACTAAATCATGTAAAACTAAGCGAAATAACATCACAGCCACAGTAGTATCACTCACAAACATCAATCACCTCCGTATTATAAACAAAAAATAAACTATTAATCACATAAAATCTGTTGAATGAAAAATTAATGTTTACTTGATCCAAACACAGTGTGTCATTGTTTCTATCAATCACTCACATTTCAACCTTCATAAAGCAGATGTGTGTGGTGAATAACCGTGTCCTGATGGGAGACTACAGTACAGTGATGGTACTTTGACATATATCGAACCGAAGTAATAAATAATTCCCGTCTTGAAGTGCCATAATATTTATTTACTCGGTTCTCCGAATTACTTAAAAAAAAAACAGAGGTACTATTACCACGGTACTGTATAAAGGGATATATATACTCACACAAACGCTACGCGACTATATTGAGCTATGGCAATAATCGCCATGTTCATTGATATTTCATTAATCACTGTTGTTATGGATCTAGATTTTTTTCATTTATTATAACAGGGGCGTCATTGTTTTGACGCGTCCCTTCGCTCTCAGCATCGCGTCAGCTCTAATATACACAACACACACACACGAACACAAATAAACGCATATTTCACACACATGTGAGTGTTTGATCACAACAATATTCAGTCATTATGCCGTTTTGGACTTTAATCCGGGGAGCGCTGCTAATGCTAAAGCTAATATGAGGCCAGTGGGTGTTAATCGCGTTCGTGTATCGATAAATCGAGTTACCTTTCTTTCGCCAGCGTCCATCTCGCACACCGACACCGGAACCGAGCCGCGAGCTGCTGTCAGGAGGCCGTTAACGGAGACATGATCCGGAGCTCCGGTTCTGATGTCCGTCACTGACTGACTGATTGACTGACTGACACTCATCTGGGACGGAAGCCGCGGAGGGTCATTAAGGACGTGCGTTGCTGTAATTATGGCAAGCTGTCGCTAGGGGGCGCGCGAGAACAGGAAACTCAACTCACACGCATTCGCAGGATTTTTTTTATTTTTATTTTTTTTTATTGAACAAATAACATGGCAACAAAAATATATAACTACACTATAATAGTAGGATCAGGTGCAAAATTGCACTACAGAAAAGAAGAATAAAAGGGGAAAAAGAGGCTTTACATTTCACGTCATATTCTTCCTTTGTAGCGAAAAGGGTTTTTTGCATTTTTACTTTTTTATCATTAATACACAGAACTAAGTCACTTTCAGATATTTAGATTTGTGTATGTCAAATTTAACAGCAACCGAGATGTTCAGTGAGTTTTATCATTTGTCATAAGTTATGACGATTTTCAAATTGACATTTGTGATTTATACAAACAAAGACATTAATCAGTCCCGTGATTCCATAATCAACAACACCAAAGCAACACCTAAAGTTCACATGGAATTTAAATTCGATTTTTTTCTTAGTATGAATATGTTGTCTTACTTAGTGTGCTCCAAAACAATGACAAAATTCGCATGTTGAAGATATAAGTGCAAAACTTAGGCTACAGTCACTTCCACAAATAAGGATCAATGATTTTGATGACATCACTGCGCCTCAGCTTCTCATCAGATTTTCAATCCAATCAAATGCTCTTAAGAATCTGAAGCTCCGCACCCTACACCATAAAGCGCTATGGCTGAAACCAGTCTCTTGTTCACACAGTTACTATTATCTACATGGTGAATATCACAATATTTCCCTTCACCCTGATTGATAAATACATCAACCAAAACAAAACAAAAATAGGCTATCACTTCACTTGCTTTCTAGATTTCCAGAAGGCCTTTGATTCGATTTGGCCTTCTTTCTAAACTTCTAGAATCAGGTATCAGGGCAAAACATACAACATTATAAAGACAATGTACTCAAACAATCAATGTGCTTTTAAAACTGGCAACACTGACTTCTTCAATTCACACACTGAGTAGGCCTACACACACTCGGGCGGGGTGTGTGTGAGACTGCCCACTATCACCGACTCTCATCAATGAACTGGCGAAACTCCTGGAAGAATCAGCAGCTCCTGAAAAGAGAGACACCATTTCACCCTTGAATGACTAAAATTGATCATGTCACGAGTTACACACACCTCGGGCTGAACATAATTGCCACTGGAAACCTAAATGTGTCCTGAATGAACTGAAAGAGAAAGCAAGGGCCTTCTATGCCATTAAAAAATCTATCCAAATTGCAATACCAATCAAAATCTGGCAATATAATTTAGAGCCATTTGCATTAAATGGCAGTGAAGTTTGGGGTCCTCTCCGAAATCACCAATTTGACAAATGGGGCAAAAATCTGATTAAAAACCGAGGAACAGAGTTAGGCCAATACCCTCTGCTAATACCTAACCCTAATCCTAACCCAGCTCCCCAACTAGGACTTTTTATAAAAACTTTGCCCTAACTTCATACAATTAAACAACAAAACACAATTTCAAAATATATTAGGTGAAAAAAGAGACTAGCAGCCGGATACACAAAGAGAGAGAGAGTCGATGACTGTTCTATTTTATTTTATTTATTTTACAATGTTAATTTGTACAATTAATTTAATTTAGATGTTATGTTATAATATAATATTTTACTATTTTGATTATAATTATTCTATGTATTCCAAGCTTTGGCAATATTGTATGATGTACAGTCATGCCAATAAAACAATTCTGACTTATTTGACACCCAGTATTGTAAAGCTCAGATTTGTTTTATGCATTTTCCCAAAATTAATGATGTCATTGTGTTTCTGTGAATTCATGTAAAGAAAGCTCTATTTTTATACGTCCCACAAAACAATAGTGTTCTCAGGATTCCTCAAAACAACCCTAAAATACTGGCACAGAAAACATAAACCAGCCATTGAGTTAAACACATGTTTACAGTGATAAACCACAGGAATTGTGTTATTATCTGATGGGCCGGACACACACAAGTGTGCACTTACACACTTCAAGCCTTTATAGGGTGCGAACTAGACTATTGTTTACAGGAGCATTTGCAAATATCTGTCAATTAAACAAGATGTAGATTCATTTAGAAAACAATCTGTCATACAACATGCCATAATTGTATTTTAATATTAAAAAATGAATTATTGTATGTAGAAATTGATATGTAGGCATTGTTCAGTCTGTTTAGTGAACTGTTTAAGGTATTATTATATTTTTTGTTCAGTGGAGTATTTGAGTTATTACGCTTGATTTAATATTATGCCTGTTTTACTAACGTGTTTGTTGCTTTCATTATTTTGTAAAGCACTTTGATTATAGCAGCTATATAAATAAAGTTTACTATAATAATATCCTCGCTTCAGTTCATGTCACTCTATCAATGGAAAACCAGACAACTCTCTCACATTCACCTACAGGTGGCGCTGTTGCTTTTCAGGACAAAAACATGAATCTCAAACTTGCCTTTCTCAACATAATGAGCTGAAAATCTGAAAGTGATCAAAGCTTGCTCACCTGTGTGTGATCATTAGAGTATTTGTTGTGTCATTAACAGACACATAAAAACACACAATTAAATGAAACACTAGCTGGAGGTTGTGACTGAACAAAGCAGGAATTCTTTCTCATTGCCAGATGGAACAGCCCAAATCATGCAGGCTACACTGAAAAGAGTATATGATAAAGTCAAGGTGTCAATAATAATGAAAAGAAAGTAATATTACCCACAAGCCCTTGTGCAAAAGAATTGGAATTGGTCGACACCCTTTCCTCTTGAACTTCATGAAATCTGTTAACAGCGCAAACTCAATCAATATGCAAAGAAAAAAAAAGTGCTGCCTTTGTTACTCCCTTTTAAGTACACTCAATTTTAAGTACACTCAATTTGGATGTCAGTTCAAACTCGAATCTTGTAAAACTTATAAAAAAAATGTAAAATTTAAAAACTTGTTTTTTTTAAAAACTTATTTTGTTCGCAATTTAAAAACATATTTTGTCAGTTATTGATAATATAATTGTTACATATTAAGACATTAGTATTATTGGCTTTCCCATCACTGCTGCACAGCCTACTTCTAGTGTAGGTAAAAGTGTGCATATTTATACTAGTACACTAAAATGGAAGCCCATTTCTGCCCCATGAGAAAAAAACAACAACGTAAATGACATTAAGAGTCGAAATTATGACATAACAAGTCGGAATTATGTCATTAAATACGAAATTATGACTCAAAAACTACAACAAGAATTCATAATTATGACATATAAAGTATTATTGTCTTTTAGTATGAAATAATTTCGACTTTTTATGTCATAATTGTGATTTGTAATGTTGGCGGCTAAGGCTATCCTGCTGTCAAAAACGTCTGAGATTTTATCACCCGTTTAATGGCAGCTTGCCTATAAAATATTTTATGCCTCCGCTAATGAGTATAAATGTAAACATGTTTCTGACACTCGGCTTAATCTTTCACGCGATCTCCCGCCAAGAGTGTTTTTGGCGCGCATTCGCCGCTGCTCTGCGCGCGTGTGATTTTATGGGTTAAAAAAGCGCGGCAGAGTTTCAGATCTCACGGAGGGGCGCGCGCGCACCCCCTCCGGTTCCCGTAGCGGCATGCGTGACTACACTCATGTTGTGTTTTCACTTTTACAAGGCTTGCGCGTGATTCTGCTTTTATACACTCGTTTAAGTCCACGGGGTTTTTTTTACACATCAAACCCCAGACGCCGCGAGAGCTCGCGCGTCGCTGGAGTCTCGCACGCAACCACAACATGCGCTGAGGCCACACACACACCCACACACACCCACACACACACACACACACACACAGTTCTGGGAATGACCTTACATCTTATTCTAATGCATTATTATTGATGTCTTAAGACTGACGATCTTGTTACTTTTCAACTGAGATGAGAAATCCAGCAATGCACACACACTTATGCACATCTCTCATATTGTTTTTAAATTGAAACAAAAACGCATGGCTTTGCTTCAGAAGGGCATTATAACCTATAGGCCAGGAGTCGCATGGATTACTGTTAAGATGGACTGATGCACTTTTATGATAAAAGATGCACTTATTTGGGGCTTCAAAATGTCACCCTGTATTAAATCTCATTATTAAGCTTGGAAGAGGCAGGATTGGTGTTAATATGCCTAACTCTGATTGTGTTGGACTGATAGAAGAAAGTCATTGGATGGCTAATTATGGGATAGTTCGATTTTTGGGGGGTGAATTAACCCTCTACTACCTTTTCGGATGTTTCAGAGAACATTCAGAAGTTATGATTAAAAAAAAACAATAATTCCATTCTATTAAAGGCACACTATGTAGTTTTTCAACCTTCATAATATATTTCCAAAACCCTTGTGATGGTACATCGATTTACAGGTTACAGGTTAAATAAGACGTCTGCCATTGCCTGACGTGATCTATCGCTTTTACATTGCAGAATGCAACTTCGGGTTGTGTGTGGTAACCGGAGCACAAAAAGAACTACAAAATTCGACTGTTTTACAGAATATGTCACTTCCCCAAATTGTCCGTGGCCATTGTTGATTCCAAAGCCAAATTTAATGTTTTATCGGTAACACTTTACAATACGGTTCACTAGTTAAATGAACCAACAATGAACAAATAATGTGTTACTATATTAGTCTTGGTAAGTGTTAGTTAATAAAAATACAGCTAACATTTGTTCATGCTAGATCTCAGTGCATTAACTAATGTTAACAAATACAACCTTTGAATTTAATAATGTTTAGAAGCCTAAATGTTGAAGTTAACATTAACTAAGTGCAGTTCATGTTAACTAATGCCAACCGATGAACCTTACTGTAAATTGTTACCGTGTGGACTTTCTGGGAACATTTAGAAGTACTGATTTCATAACTTAACGGGAACACCAAAACGTTTCCACAACTTTTTTTGTACT